AATTTTCAAGTGTCTAAATTATGATCAGTGGGGTAGGGTGGGGATGCATTATGAATCCACAGTATTGCTGAGATGGGAAAGCAGTTCTAATTTTTGTTACTACACATGATGGCAATATCTTCCTGTTGTTTTTCCCCAAACGTTGCCATATCCACCTCACAAATCGTCGATATGCAAGATGCCTGTAAACACTAGAAAAAGACAAACTAATCAGAACTTACGACATGTGCACAGTTAAATTCAGCGATTTTTTTGGTGGTTTTTGTTTTTTGTTTTATTTGAAATGTATGCCTTAAGCCCTTTACAATTACAGTACACTCCCTACTCACACAAACATTCATGCAAAACCAGCTCAATTTTTTTTTTCAAAATTCTTTGACATAAGATTATGATAATTAAGAAACTGGCCATTCAAATAACCTTTAGAATTATAAAGTATACACCTTTTTTTAGTGCTGATTATTAGTTTAGACAGTATTTAAATTCTGAATGTAACACGCTTTTTGATTGGCTAGAAAATTACATTGTAGTTCAAACTGTATACCCTGGGTTGCATACGTCACAATGACTTTCATCAAAAACATATCAATTTGCTTGACTTTACACTTAAATTTTGTAAAATTTAATGTCATATTTGAGGTGGAATTGTCTATTTTCCTAGTAATTAATTAATTATAAGGAATGAGCTTATTAGCTACTCAAGTTATACTGAATAACCATGGTTGGAACGCTAAACATTTTTACACAAAAAAAATATAGCGTAAACTGTCTCAATCCAGGTTATACTGTATAACTTGGGTAAATATTAAACTTGTTACGTACTCGTACTTAAATTAATACCAGGTATTTCTTTCAATCAGAATTATCGGTATGGATAGAATAAAATACAGGATTACCTTAAAATTTTACAAAAAAAAACTTACTTGTGTACTAATTCATTTTCTTCCAGTTGTCCATTTTCTTCTAGATATTCATAGAAGGATGTCTCTAAAACCCATCTGTTGAGACAATTGGCAGCAAAACCCTCATGTTCGGTAGGGCTGGGACGATACAACTTTTTCTATATCGATACATATCACGATATTTGAGCCACGATACGATATGTATCACGATATGTTTGATTGCTGATAAATTCTTTTTTTGCATTGAAATAAACAAATTATTTCTTTGCAAATAAGAATAATTTATTCAAAATAATTGTTTATATATTGTAAAACAAAAATATTTTGCTCAAGTGGTGTTAATTATTATTTATTTCATATCTATATTTATATTTAGCTTATTTATTTTATATAATAAACCCCAAATGTTAAATAAACAAAGAAAAATAGAAGTAAGATTTTTTGGGGCGATATTCCGATATTTCTTCATATGTATCGATATGCGTATCGTCCTAACACGTATCACGATATATCGATATCTCGATATATCGTCCCAGCCCTAGTAACTATAACCAATATATATAGGCTAGGCCTAATTCATACAGGAGTTGTGTATAAAGATAACCTTGTAATTTAAAGTATGATGGACAAACCTAATCTTTATTAAAACTAATGTAAACAATTATGGACGCATTAAAATGTTTGTATATCCATTTTTAAACTTTAAAAAACTTAACTGCAATTGCACGCCTTTTCTCCAGAGCATTCGATTTCCGACCTTGTTTTGGTACATATGAAACATCTACATCTGCTGTTTTCCTTTTATGGCCTTTAGTATTTAATGGTCTGTAGTCGAAGATGCTAGGTATGGCATCGTTTTTTAACTGCAGTCGACTGTACCCCATGCATCGCGCTTTTGAAGGCTCAGTAACAAAACAGTCGGGGGCAAAATGTCGCTCGCAAAGCTTTGAGTGTTTGGATGGCCAGTAATTAACAGTTTTGAGCTTTCTTACCCAAATATGGCATAATTTGGGATCGTCGGGGAAAGAAAACATAGATACACCCTGTCCATATCGGATATCACAGTTTGGCGCAGCACACAAGACCATATTTTTTGTTTCAATCTCCCATCGTCTGTATCGTGACGTTTCAGCGTCGATAGTTTCAATATGGCGGGTTCGTGTCAAGGGGCATAACTCGCATGCAATTTTAGGTCAGATTTCAGGTGTGACAACTTTTACCGTAAATATTTCGGAAATACATTCAGATATAACCAAATAAGTAAAGTAGTCTGAATTCTATTATTTATTTGAAGATAATAAGGGGTAGATTAATTGAAAGTGAAGGATCTTTTCAGTTGACCTTTAAATAGATATTTAGCTGTTAGAGCACTGCTTATGTCTGTATGAGAACTTGAGTTTTATCTTTGAATTATTGTGGATTGAAATAATATGTTATTAAATGGAGAATTTGTATATTCCCTATATTTAAGGTCACATGAGTCACTCTGTTTTCGTCCTCGTCGTCCGTCGTTCGTCGTCAATCGGTCGTAAACTTATGAACATTTTCAGCTTCTTCTCTGCAACCACTGAACCAATTTCAACCAAATTTGGCACAAAGCATCTATGGGTAAAGGGGAACAAAAATTGTGAATTTCATGATCCCTGCCCCCCTGGGGCCTGAGGGGTGGGGCCAAAACCACTAAAATTAATGCAATCTTTAAAAATTTTCTTTACCCCCAGACATTAAATATTGTGTTTTTTTGACACAAAGTGGGGGGGGACACCTGTCCCTCCTCTATATCCGCCAATGATTTTTTTTAGGTTTAATAGTGAAGTGATTAGAAACTACCCAAGTGGACGGCAAAGAAACGATAAAGTTAAAGCTTAAATCATTATATTAACAGTTATGTAAACACTGTTCACTCCTTTAAAAACAATGCAATGGGTAAAGGATTGAACATGGTTATTAATATTTTCTAAAAAATAATTATCTTAACTTAAAAAAAATGAAAATTTCAAAGTGAAATGCATTTAAGCATAATTTTCGAATTATTTATATTTTAAGAGTTCTATTACGAAAGGTTTTCTTAAAACTAGACATATAACATGAAGCAATGTCCATTAAACGCCAATGTTGGGGGAGATACTGTATGAAAGACTTTATGCATCAAAAAATTTTAATGTCCTAATTTTTTTTGTAAAAAACAAACATTTTGTTGTTTGTTATTATGATGCACAAGCTTTACCAAGTAAACAACATCCATATCAAATAGCCCTCTTTACTTAAATACAATAAAAATTAATTTTCGAAATATCATTGCAGAAATATTTTTAAATTATCATAAAAAGTAGAAAAATAAATTAATAGATGTACATCAGGCAAAAAAGTATGGTGACTGTAACCTAGGTAATGAGCCTTCGCTTTATTTTATTTCGTATGTTTTAGAGACAATTCTACAATTATATCATTGTCTGATAATATTTGAATAGTGTATTTTACTTAGGCGACAGCTGAAACATTAATTCACATATAAACGAAAATATTTATATTTGCAAATATCTTTCTTAGATGAAACTACTGAAGAGAAAATATGTTCAATTCTGTGTGAATGTTATTTGAGGGTAAGAGGTCATAGCGCGACCGAATCACAGAGCGAGGTGATATAGTCTACATATTTCTGTCACGATGCAACTTGTTTTGATATGTTTCTAAGTCAATTATGATGAAAAAAAATAAAATGATAAAAATATGGATATTGTTCAAACACAAGAATTACAATAAATCTTCTTAGGATGTGGATTATCTCTTTAACCCGAAATTCCTTTGGATTTAGGTAAACTAAAACAGACGATACCGCCGCTTTTGACGTTAAATATTCTATGAACTTATTAAATTATTAAATTATTCGCAGTAGCGATCATTGTTTGTCCATTAAATCATTATACATGTATACAGATACTTCCTGAACTGGAAGTTTAACATGAATGTAAACATTCAAATGTTGGAGCGAGGTACATGTAAACTGACTTTGACCAAACAACTTTGGATAATTGCGCGTCACAACATAACCATCCAGCGTTCTGTTCGTGTATAAATGCAATTTTACTCGAAATTTATTCGTCTCAAATGTACATAGAAGTAATAAACAACAATATTAAAACGTTCACTGGAAAATGAACTTTTAGATGGTACGTGATCGAATCTACTGAGAAGCTCTTCCCAGTGAACTTTTTAAAATTGTTGTTTATTTCTTAAAAGAAAGTACTTTATTATCAAGGTAAACACATGTAAATGTCATAACAAATTTATTTTGTGGTTTTCTTAAGTCTAAAAAAATAAAAATGCTTAAATTACAGATAATTTATGGGATCTTTTAAATGAAGATGCTTGAGATTAACTTGCACGTTTAAGCGTTCATAAACATAGAGCAATATTAAATATCAGTGTAATTGCCCAGACAAAATTCTCTTCACAATTGAAGTATATTTTGAAAAAAAAATGAAATTGTAATTTATTCTGTGCAGTGCATGTATGTTTTTCAAAACAACAAATTATAGTTTCCGAAGAAAAACAAATCTGACGAAGGCAGTAATACAGGAGAATATTTCATAACACATGCAATGTATAAATACGGAGCAGAAGATCAGACTATTTACTTTGATTGTTCACATTGGGATTTCCTGGTGAATTTATACAGGTATGATGCTTTAATGCAGAGAAATTATATTTTCAGCAAAACATTTACTTCACAAAAAGTAGAATTTTATACATGTTACAATTAATGTCAACTGGTTTGACTCAGTTGTACATGATAACAATAATTAATATCAACTCAGTTTTAATTCGACCTAACTGTACCGTGTTTTTTTTTTTTTTTTTTTTTTTTTTTTGCTGAAAATATAAAATTCGTTTTCCGCGACAATTATTTCTTTTTTCCGCGATTACATAGATCTTTTTTGATATTCTGCGATTTTTTTTGAACATGAACAATGATTTAAAGCTTTAAACACTAGATAAGACAAAGATTTAAAACTAACTGTTGATTTTAAAAGCGTTGTTTTTTCTACTGTATTGTGACACCCTTTCACTGCTATTATTTTGGCAAAGAAGGCGAAAATGTGGAAACCATCAACTTTCATATTTTTGACATGTATAGCATCTATTTTCTTTGGGGGTAAGTGAATTTTTTTTTTCAAAAGGCGTTTTTTAAACTGGAAGAAAAAAAACCCAATTCTTTTCTCTTATGTGTTATATGCATGTAATAATATTCAAAAAAAAAATACTGCATTTTACAGGATGTGAGGCTCGGACTTGTACATATGAAGAGTATAACAAATGTGGCTGGCTCTATCCATTTCCTGTATGGGATGCAGATCCAGAAGTATGCAAGTATGTCATCTTAAATGGGAGTGGTTAGCCTATTTCCAAATAATACTGTTTCCATATGTTTGTTTGTTGTTTAACTTCCCTTTCGAAAATTTCTTACTCATATGGAGACGCTACCACTTACCGGTTGAAAGCTACAAATTTTGACCTTTACTCGGCACTCAGGGCCATTGAGCAGTGAGGGATTTTATTCGTACCAGCACCTACTGCGACACGGAACCTCGGTTAATACGGTCTCATCCGCATGACCGGACTCTACGTCCCACTGTGGGATTCGAATCCGCGAAGTAAGGGTCAACTCCTTACTTCGCTACTCTAGAGCAGATGTTCTTTCCACTGCTCCACGCAGGCGATACGGATGCTTGCAAAAATATTCATCAAGTCACTTGTAGGAATAAGGTCAATTATCTGAGCTAGATACATGTAAGGCATAAAACCCCTAATGAATATATACACATGTGAAAAATAACTTTCAAATTAAAGTTACTTTATTTTGAACAAGATCAATCTAGTTCGTTACAGTTATTTTTTAGAGTAATGATCGATAGCATGCGATCTTTTACCCTACTTTTTGTTGAAATTTATCTTCTTTTATATTATGAAGAGCAAGAAGATGTTGCGTTTCATACACGTTAGCAAAAGATTGAAATGACTAGCCACAAACTTACGTTTCTTTTCAGTTATACATTATCTCAAATCAACTGTGTAGAGAAAGTGAATTATGCCTGCAAATCCAATCCCTATGGATATTCATATTCATCGTTCTGGGGAACAAAGAAGTATGGAAGTAAGGTTGTTCTTGCAAGAGGAATTGAAACGTCCATCACATATCAAGAACAATTCAAAATGTGGGGTAAGTGAACGGAGAAAATTAAATTCCTTTTCTCTTTTTTTCGATTTAAAATTTTTTGCCATCATTACGTTTAGAAAAAATTGACAATTTTTTTCTTAAATAATTATAACACAATTAAATCTCAACTACCGAATGATGGACAAAGATTTTACATTTAAAAATTAATTTTGAGATGTTTTGCATTTATCTAATACAATTATTCCAAGCTAATAAATTTCATCAATGAAACAGGTTTATAATAATGGGTAATAATAATCAGTTTCATTCATTTTCCATAATTTAGGATGTGTTGCACCGACATGTTCATATTCAGAGATAGACAAATGTACCCAACTTGAGCGTGACTTACCAGTTCGAACATCAAGTGAAAAAAGATGCAAGTATGTACTCCCTTGAGAAAAGCATTTGATTGATTGATTAGTGTTAAAGCAAAGTTGTCAATCTTTCAGCCACATTAGATAAGTTGACACGTTTCCTAAATTTATGTTTTATATATTGGTATTGTGACATGACTCGGCGGGTTTTCCTTTGAAGTCAAGCATACTGTAACTGCAATACAGAACACTTTTTGTGGGCGTTTCTTATGCAAATGAGCAGAAAGTTTACTGTATCTGCAAAATATCAACGATACAGAACGGTTTATTTTTAGCGATGACGAAAAGCTGTATCCATAGTCAGACACAACAATCGTTCAATTCTTATGCATATGATACTACTGCTAGTAATTGGAGGTGATTTAATTAAGAATAAAATTTTACAACGTAAAGTTATGAGTGTCGGATTCCAAAAAATTAGAAAGGAGGGAGTGGGGCAATTAAAAAACGATTACTTTGAAACACCCCCCCCCCCCGAAAAAAAAAATGGAAAATCGCATTTTGTGGGAGAGGTTTATAATTTAACAAGACACTATGTGCGTGGATTCGTTACTTGTTGATAAAAAGCGTATGTACATGTATATAAGTTTGGCAAAAACGAAGAAAAAAAAAAGTTGGGTGGGATGGTGGGCACCTGTGAGTACTGGACCCTCCTTTGGTTTCTCTACATTTTATTAAAAACATAAAAAAGTAAAATACCCCCCTTCCTTTCATCTGTTTATTTCAATTTTGTATATGACGACAGGTGGAGGACATTGTCGGACATTTTCTCTCAGAATACGATATCCCCGAAGCATTTTTGTTTCAGAAATATGATTCTTATATATAAACATGTTTTGCTTTAATTCGTAGCTTAAATTAAAAAAAAGATATCAGCAAGAGTTGAATAGAGAAAAAAAACCTACCCGATCAAATCAAAATTATTTTTTGGAAAACAAATTATATTATCCAACCCCCAAATAATTATTTTTAAAATAATAGTAAATCATTACCTGCACGTCCACCTAACTCGGATTTTCAGTTGCGAATGCTTAAAATGGGATACTAAATCAACTTTCTGCAAAATCATCTGATTGTTTGAGAGATTTGTACCCAAATACGCATGTAAATTAGTCAGGTCATTAGAAAGGTCATGCCACAAGTCATTTAGAATACTCGTTTCCAACTGTATCGGAGATACAGTGCGGGGCCCGGCTCGAGCTGTCGCCTCAAGCCCCGCCCTGTATCTCCGATACAGTAGGAAACTCGTACTCTAAATATAACTTATATTAAAAAAAATATTCATGATTGCCATTATCTTAAGATATTGAAATTGGTTTTAAAAAATACTGAAGCCAACAATTGTAATTGTAAGCAATTTAAAAGGCTTTTCATATGTGTTATAATCCATATGTATTATATTACAAATTACACACTCTAGTGTCTTGAAAAATACTTGATAATGTGAGGAAATTTGTTCAGGTCGCAATACTTCCAGAACCAATTACTTTGGAAAAGTTATATATTTTTCATGAACATGTCTGACATTAACATTGGATATGGTTTGACAGAAATTATAAACGAATATTTTGTTTTACAAACATTATGTCCAATGACTGAAAAAGAAGGAAACAGACTTTACCTAATGCGTAACCTTCTTCCAAAATAAAAAAGAATTATTTTATTTAGAATCCAGACATTTAACCTTTACCTTTGCCACACTCCAGTCGAAAATATAAGTTTATTGGTCCGATCTGTAATTTTATAATTGCCATTTAAAAATGTTCCGCAAAGAAAGAAAAATTCTTACTCTATCATTTTACCAAAAAAAAAAAAATCCGATGTAGATATAAAGTGCTCATCTGGGCTTAATGGCCATTGGTGCTGAGCATAAGTACAAATTTGCAGCCTTTAATTCAAGAGTTTGCTTTTGAATTTTCTTTCATGGTTATATATATCTACATTTTTATTTTTTACAGACAACTCTTATCAGGCCAAAGCTGTCTACATAAAATAAATGAGGACTGCAAATCAAGTCCATATGCAACAAGTACCCTTCGTACAAAAGGAAACGAAACCTTGGAACTAATTCGGCAGAAAATCCACAACTGGGGATGTTTAAACGGTCATTATTTTGCAAGATTTTTTTAAAAACTTAGCTTTCTTTTTTAAAATCTGGATTTTTATGTTATCAAAACTTTATAAAAGAAAAAATATATATTCTATTAATAAATACATACCTTTGTGGTATCTCTCCAGTATATAAAGATACAGAGAGAAATATCTTCAACTCTGTAAGAAGTTTGTCAGAGGTCAATACGTGACCTAATCACACGGCGCAATAATATCTACCGGTACATAAATTATAAAATGACCTGCTCTACTTGCTTTTCACGACATACATTGTATATAAAATGAACAAAATAGGCAAGTAAAATAAGATAATTATTTTATTTGAAATATAAACAAATATTTCATAAATATGTGTAAATATGTTGAAAAATATCATTGCAATCATGCCATGAACAGCTACCAAACACCTCGGCGTTTTCGTAGTTAAGTGTAAAGCTGTGGCCAGTGTCTCCGTGTTTATCAGTGTTTTACGATAAGTACGCCTTTAGTTACTGAAACCGTAGAATGCTTTAGATCAAATTGCAAATTGAATGGCTCGGACAAGTGTCTCAATACTTCAGATCCATCCATCCCTTTCCGGCGACCGAAAATCCTCGAACTGTTTATCATCAGACTTCGGACGTGTTTCTTGTGTCTTTTCAGCATCGATTATCATTTTTCACAAATAAAATATTCCCAGACAACAATCTGTTCACTATTACTGATCACAAGTAGCCTTTCACAAAATATTCCCTTCGAAATAGATTCCTTAGCCTAATGAATTCGAAGCGAAACCGCCATGCAAGCCGATTTACACTTTGCGTCATTTTTCAAAATCTTTGACGGACGGTTAGTGCAATAATTTAATTCGAAAATATCAATTGTCTATCTCAAATTTATATATAAGTAATAAATAACAAGTTTATAAACTTCAATGGGAATTGAAGTGGGTCGGTATGTGATCAAATCTTCTGAGAAGGCCTGCCTTCACAGGATTTGATCACGTGACCGACCCACTTAAATTCCTATTGAAGTTTATAAACTTGTTATTTATTTCTTAAATGGTTAATAATAAAATTATCAATTTTTGCTTTGTTTTCATATGGTTATCGAGATATCTGTAAGTGACTGATTTGTTGTTTTGATTTATGTTGTCCAGATTACTTTTTTCATAATTTTTTTTTATTATTTACAGTGATCAATGGTGGAATTGGCCAGGAATGTAAATACAGGGTGATCCAAAATAACTGATACCATTTCAAACGATAATAATTTTGTCAAATACTGTAATACTCTTTATCTCATTATTTCAAATTTTAACATATTATGAAATATTTTATACAATACATGCCTGTACGTTTTTCTGCATTCTTTGAAATAATAATTCAGTCTCAAAACAATGCTGTAAGTTATTTTCTGCACATGCTCTTTGTGACGTCCATTTTTTGCCTAAAAGTGCTGCTAGAATCCAACTGTCCCGGCAGTAAAATTATTATTCAACACATTCGCACGAACCTTGCACTATGTTTTGAATTTTTTACATATGAACCGAGATTTTTCGTAAAATCATGCTTAACTCGGAATTCTAGCAGCACTTTCCAAGTATTTTAGGAGGCAAACTTTCCATCTGTACAAATCTTATGTTTTGAAATATACAGCTTATTGTTGCTCTGTTGCATTATTTTTGTCACAAATGTGAGAGGAAAGACCAACCGGGATACGTATACATTTTGGCTCCAAAAAAGCGTGGTTTGATAGTTTCAGAAGTTTTTCTTGTGTTGTGAATACAGGGTGTTTCAGAAAACATGCTACCATTTTGATGGATTAGATATTACTGGTGTTTTAACCAATACCACGTACCAGCATATCTAATGATTGATTGATTATATACTGTTTAACGTCCCTCTCCGAATATTTCACTGATATGGAGACGTCACCATTGCCGGGGAAGGGCTGCAAATTTAGGCCTATGCTCGGCACTTAAGGCCTTTCAGCACGGAGGGATCTTTATCGTGCCACACCTGCTGTGACACGGGGCCTCGGTTTATACGGTCTCATCAAAAGGACCGCCCCATTTAGTCGCCTTTTACGACAAGCAAGGAGGTACTGAGGACCTATTCTAACCCTGATCCCCAACGGGCGCATATCTAATGAAAAGTCACAACTTCCAGATTTATTCTTGTGCAAAAAAGTTAATACGGCATATAGATATTGAATTACAAAAGAAAACAGAAACTTTAAAAAAAATTCCCTTATTTAAGAAAATGCTGTTTATGGCGTCATTTTTACTGCAAGAATAAGTCTTTCCGATGTAAGAAAGTTCTCTTTACTATTGCAAAGAGTCTCATGGGAATGAATCAGGTCTCATTTTGCAAAGATTTTAAGTTCTCTCTCTCTCTCTTTATTTTGGGGTGGGTGGGTTAAACAAATTTACCATTAAATATCCCCACCGATAAAGTCAACTTACAAAAAGTGGTATAAAACTTGAATTCAAATACATTGTTGTGGTCAAATGGGGTAGCTTGTGAATTGTTTTATCATAGAACTTATGTTGTTGGTATATCAGACAATGCAACTGAATGACCGATGTGTATCTACAACTATTAGGGTTTATTGTCGTTGTTGTTCACCTTGTAAATGTTACGTTCAGTCGATTTCCTTGTTCTTCATTATTTGCCATAGGAGTTGATGCATGAAAGTTTCATGGGTTATTTTAAACAGGTTTTCCCCAATGTATATAACATGGATTTATGCCCTATATGGTTTGGCTATAAATACTATAACTCTACATGGTTGATCTATATGAATCCATGCATAGCTGGGCGCCATGGTGCTATGCTCTATATGGATGGGCAATACTTACATACTATAGCCCAATTTGGTTTGGCTATATGTATCCAAGTATGGTTGGACGGCATGGTGTTATGCCCCATACTAAATGTCAACTTTGATCCAAGGACAAGAGAATTCGGTAGTACAGCTGGTTATCAAAATGCTTTTCGAAACGTGTGGCTCAATCATTCAAACATCAGTTCTCTCCCCGTCTCTCAGCTCTTTCCATTTGCTAACACAATTTTCTCTTTCTCACAACTGGTTAAGGGATATGAGCATTACAAATATATCTGAAAAAAAAGACATTGTGAGGCTTTGTACTGCGCTACGAACCAGTGGAACATTTGGAATACTGGCGGCTTTATGTATGATTTACTTTTACAACAATTTCCAGTTTATCTACAAGACCATCCGTAGTGGAACCACCACAACAAAATGACACACTCTGTTAATTTCTACAACTTTTTTTCATCTCTGCTAATGTATTTGTGACCGTAAGTAGTATAAGGAGCCTGGTTGGCTGGGTCAACTGAGTGCACTTTGGGGGCTGGGGGGATAGCTGGGTCAACTGAGTGCACTTTTGGGGCTGGGGGGATAGCCGGGTCAACTGAGTGCAGCCCTTGAGGGGGATAGCCGGGCCAAGCGAGTGCAGCCCCTGGGGGGATAGCCGGTTCAACTGAGTGCAGCCCCTGGGGGATAGCCGGGTCAATTCATTACATATAATCCCCCTAAATACGGGGGTGTTTACACTGTGTTTACATTATACTATATACGCTGCTACTACGATTCACAACGCTGCTACTACGATTTTGGCAAATACTCAAGAATTTGATTATGACGTCACTCATTCACAGTGATTTTCCGAAAACTGAAAAAAAAACAATAACACACAATAGAAACAAGGACACAGATTTTATTCAAGTAAAAAAATACAACAATTTACTTTTTCTTCTTCTGGGCCTTATCGGTCATCAGGGATAGTTTCCTCTTGTGAGTAGTGCTGGGTCCTGGATTCTCTCTGTTGTGTTCCTTTTTCTCTTTTTTGTCTCCTTCTTTCACTAGAGGTTTGGTCTGGTGGGTCCCTGAGATCTTGGGTTCCTGAGGCTTTTTCTCCAGTTTTTGTACTTCTTTGACGAATTGTTGATCCTCCTCATCCTCTGTACACTTATTAGCCCAATGGCCAAATTTCCCGCACTTGTAGCACAAATCTTTCTTGGGGCAATCTGGGGCCCAATGCCCTAACTCTTTGCAGATGTAGCATGGATCCGTCTGTCTAGTTTTCTTTTTTTCTCCCGATTCCCCTTGTCCTTCTTTTTTCTGGTAAGTGCTTGCTCCTCCTCCTCTCATTTTGTCTTGCATGTTAGTAACTTTCACTTCTAATTTGGATAATTTGGCACGAATCAAACAAAATTCACTGGCGTTGTAAGTTTTCAGATCAGTCAGCTTGTTTTCATGATCACCCACCTTCTCAGCAATATATTTCAGCGTGTTGTCATGATGTCGCACTTTCTTACCAATATAATTCAGCTTGTTGTTAAGATCACTCACCTTGTTGTTCATATCATTCATCTTGTTGTCAAGAGCAGACAGCATGTTAACAATCCCATCCAGAGTTGTATTTAACAGGCCCATATCTTCTTTATTCGCATATTCTGGAAGATTATACATGCCCAAATCTAATCCCACTGCATCCTGTGACTCTGGCATAGGGGCTCCTACATAACCTTCAGGTGTCACATAGCTGGGGTTGTCTGGAGTATTCATCATTGCTTCTGCCATAATATTTTTTCACGTCTGTCAAGTTCGAAATGTCAAGCAAGACTGATCGTCAAATCCCAGCTCCGCTTTATATACCTGCTGTGAGCCGTGTGCATCAATACGTTTTACCTACGTTTTTTTATGCTGACTACACAGGTAAATACTTGGCAGCGATTCAAGTCAGGGGCCCCGTGTGCAAAAAAAATACGATAGACCTACGTTTTTTTTATGCTGACTACACAGGTAAATACTTGGCAGCGATTCAAGTCAGGGGGCCGTATGCACCTTTGACCTACCTTTTTATACCTGTTGCATCACCTGTGAGGGGGGCCGTGTGCAAAAAAAAAATTACGATAGACCTACGTTTTATACTGGGGGTATAAATGAGAAGAAAAGTCTGGTCCTTTCTTCACAATCGACTATCATGTCAACCCTGATACACACTCACTCTCTGATTTTAGATGGGTATGATTGTTTAGTACGATGGGCACAAAATCACCAAGAAGCTCTACCCCCGGAGGCAGAACAAGTATTTCAGGAAGCGAGCACTATCATGGAAACCCCTCAAGATTTATGGTTACAATGCCTAGCCTTATCACATCATGCGCCGACCATGGGGAGACTAGCTACCATACATTTTCTATGTCGACATATGAAAACAATTCTGCCCCAGAAATGGTACGGACTGAACCTGACCCGTTATTTCGGAAAGCCTTACAGTTTCCTGACCCATCCCCAAGCGGTCAAAGTGATTTTATTGTGGCAGGACATAGATGCAATGGAGAAAGTATGTATTCAATACGGAATGAAATACCTGGAAATTTCACACAGGCTAGGAAATCCGTGACTTTTAATACCAGCCTCAATCAAATCTACGAATTACCCCCCGAAGACCGGAGAAGTCCCTGGATGACCCTAGTAGCGGATCGAATACGATTTCGGAGGAGAATTCGACAGTTAGAAGCTTTGTTAGTTTTTAAGAAATAAAAAATCATGTAATACTACATCACTGTTATGTTATTGTATGACGTCATGAATACACTCGGGTTCGGCCTTTCCCCCCTTCAATTTTGCTTTGTCACTGTGATGGGGCTTTTTTTGATCACATGATCAAAAGCGATTTTTTTGTGTTAGCCAATCACATTTGATCACATGATTGGATTGTTGATGTTTTGCCGCGATTGCACAATCGTCTGCTATTGTGTATAAATACAGACCCTCCGAGCTCTCGGTGTCATTCTGATCCTACCAGATTGCAGTCTACATTGACAACATGAATCGTATATTCCACGAGGAACTCTATTTGATACCAGGTATCACCATCGAGAGCTATATTACAGTTAGAAGAATAGATAATGGGCGAGAAATTCTTCGTCTCAACATGGCACGGATGCAAGTAAACAATCGTCGGCCGAGAAGACGTCAGTTCCAGAGAGCAGCACCCCGCTCACCACCGCCGCCACCACCCAGACCGGCTAGCCCGACCCCACAAGATCAAGCCAGGAACGAAGGAAGAGTGCCATCCTGGGGCCTTGCCATGCCGAACCAACGGATCCTCTGTACGCTGTGTCTTTGTGATGATGAGAACAATAACTATGTGTGTTCGCGTTGCTTACAAAGACCCGCATGTTTACTCTGTACAGCGCGCCTGATTGACAGAAACCTGCCGTGCCCCCTGTGCAGAAACGCAGAGATCTTAGTACAGCATGTGAACCGGAGGTCGGAATTTGAAGATCCAGATGACAGTTCCGACGAGGGAGTCATGGTGGCGGAATTATTGTCCCACTAGGAGCCACTAGGACCCACCAGAAAAAAAGCAGAAAAAAAAACAAACAGCCCTTTTAAGGGCTACCCAATTGTTTCGAAAAGATGCCTACTTAAACAGTCAAAAAAAGAAACGTTATGTATCTTAGAAAAAAAAAAGATTTTCTTTTTTTTTCAAAATACAGTCAAAGAAACGATTGTATCTTAGAAAAAAAAATGATCTTTTTTTTTATACAGTCAAAGAAATGAAACGTTTGTGTGTGTGTTCAAAAAAGAAAAGATTACCTTATACAGTGGGTAAAAACAAGAAACATTGTGTGTGTTTCTCTCAAGTTATAACACCAGGTCAC